TGGGTATTTTATTATATGACATTTTCTATTATTTAGCTTTTGTTTCGTAAATCCCGTGCATCGCATGGGTCCCCGCTAGTAGAGTATTAAGATAAGACACTTAACAATGTTTTGGTGCTTTGCCACAATGAGTATGAGTACTTAGTGTTTTATAAGTGCTTGTTCATGGCCTATCAATTGGAAATTATTTTACTTTGGTCTTAAAGCTATGTTTAATTGGTGATTAAGTGGTTTGAGAAATAAGCACTTGTGCACTTCTAAGTACTTATTTTAACAACCACTTAGATGGCATTTGATAAATCTGAAATATGAGGTTTGAAAAGTTAAAAAGATATTAAAAGTGTTTGAAATCTGAAAAGATGCTTAAATGCTTTTCCACTTTTTAGAAGCTCTGAATAGATAAGCTTGTTTGTATTAGACCAAACCTTTAACATCTAAAATTTATTGCTTTTACTATTTTAACCCTAAAATAGACTATTTGGTATTTTTGAGTTCAACTTGTATTATTTAATATAAAATAATTTATCAAATTCAAAATAATATTTAATAATTAATAAAAACAATAATTAATAATTAATAAAAAGCACAAATAAAATTAATAAATATAATTAATAACTAATAAAATTTGAAATAATTAACACTAATAAGGATTCAAATAATTAATGAAATTAATAAATAATAAGTAATATTTAATAATTAAAAATACAAACAATTAAACAAAATAGTCTACAACTAATAAAAGTATTAAAATAAATAACAGTAATAATTAATAATGTCAACCATTAATAATTAAAAATTTATAACTAATACATAATATTAAAACTGGAATTTTAATATATATATATATATATATATATAAAGTAGGGGAGGGGATAAATAGGAATTAGAGATAATTTTGAAGATAAATAAGAATTAGAGATAATTGTGGAGATAAATAGGAATTAGAGATAATTTAGAAGATAAATAAGAATTAAAGATAATTCTGAGAAAGTGGGGGAGGTAGTTTAGTATAAATTTTATGAGAAGTGATTATTTAGGTTATTGGGAAATTGAATGTCATTGGTTGTTGAAAAAATGACAGAATAAAAAAAACAAAAAATTCAAAAAAAGAAGAAATTTCTTGACCGCTTTGTTTTAATATAAAATACCCCTTATAGTTTCATGGATTTGCTAAAATCTACCTTATTGTTAGCATCTTACTAAAACACCACTTATAATTTGCAACTGATTTTATCAATCTTCCATTAGATGGTAGTGGAAAATGACAGTGTTGACCGTAATGTTCTTTTGAATAAATTTAATAAAAATAAATAAAAAAACACCACTTTTGCCCTTAATAGGACACATGTAACCACTTTGTTGGTTATTTTTGGTMAATTTTGTTTTTTAAATAAGACACGAGCAACACTCTATTGGATATATTTGGTCAATTTTTTCTATAAAAAAGTGTTAAGGTTATTTTTTGAATAAAAAATCAAGAGTCTAATGGCAAAACAAACACTCCTTAGTGAAAGATTGATTAAGTAAATAAGTTGTAAAATATATGGGATGTTTTAGTAAAATGAAAATTATAAGGTAGGCTTAAGTAAATATGTAAAACTATAAGGTGTGTAGGAATGGCAATGGAATGGGGATCATGTTCCCCATCCCCGACCCCGATTATGAAATTAATCCCCATCCCTGATCTCCGACGGGGATGGGTTCCCCGTGGGGACCCAAATCTCCAAAACTTTTTTAGATAATAGTATTTTTTAAAATAAATACAAAATTTAAATTATAAATAATTTTTTAAATATGTTTTGATATATATAATATAAAAATATAATAGTATATTTGATATAAATAACATTTAATATATATATGTAATCGGGATCGAGGCAGGGCGGGGACCTCAATCCCCATCCCCGACCCCGCCCGGGGATTCCTATTAACACCCCCCCCCCCCCTGCCAAAGCAATCCCCATCCCCGACCCCATTAGGTCGCAGAAGTCGGGTCCCCGCCGGGTATGGGGAAAATTGCCATTCCTAAATGTGTTTTCCAGTAAATGACCCTAATAGAAACATATAAGAGTATACAATTGTTTTATATTTTCAACTTTTTAAATAATTAATAATTTTCATATTTTATATACTACTTTTAATAATTTTTTTTTATAATACGAAAGTAACTAATTAATTTCAGTTAGGTTTATTCATCAAACTGATGGAATCGACCAACCCGATCAACTCGACTTGAGTTGTTCGTTTTTCTAGTATTTTAGGTCGGCTTTGGTTAAAAAATTTCCCAATTCGACCAAGTTGGATAGTTTCACTTTGTCCATTTGTAAACCGACCAAAATCAAATGACCTAACCATGGATATATATTAATATTTTATATTTTAAATATAATTTTTAATATGGAAAAGTGGAAAATTTCCCATATTTCTTGGTCTAAAATGTTTTATATCATAAATATAATTTTTATCTTTTTTTTTAAAATAATTGCACTATAATTTTTAAAATTAAATCTAATTTTTAAGTTTAAATCTTTGAACCGACTGACCAAACCAAAAAATCAACCTAAACCGATACGATTTGAGTGGGTTGGATTTCACAAAAGGTTAATCAGTTTTAGCTGACCAACTCCCCAACCTAACCAAGTCAATTTGGTTGGCCAAATAGCCTTTGACCGAACCGAATCAACTCACGAACACTCATAATTTCAGCTAAATTAATAGTCTCATATATGATAAATAAGAATACTTTAATCTCAAAAAATTATTGAAAATTTATAGCAAAAATACACAATTATTCAAAATATATTGATAATGAAAAAATACAATAATTACAAAAATACAATGAGTACCAAAAATATATTAACTTAGTCAATAAATAGTATAATCTCTAATAAAAATTAATCAATAAGTTATAACAAAAATATAATWAATACAATAAGTACAATAAATTAAATTTAAAAATTTCAATAATAGTAGTTTAATCTTCAATAATTATTAAAAGTTTTTTGTTAAATAGCAAAACAAAATAAATGTATACATAATCATTGAAAATACATTTATCACAAAAAACAATAAATAATAATTGAAATACAATAAATATTAATTTTAGTATATATAATTATATAATAAATACATATTAAGAGTTTAAAATTTTTATAAATAAACATTATTTTTTGAAAGTTATTTTCTCGAATTATTACTTGATATAATTGAAATTAGTTATTTACAATATTATATAAAATATGAAATTATTATTAATTTTAAAATTATATTATAATTATCTTTCTAATTTTTAGGATTTGTTTTAAATTTATTACATAATTTCTTTATTTTAAGTATTTAAAATATAATTATGTTAAATATTTTGTTATTTAAAATATTTATTTATTTACATACGTAAACAATATGTAAAATATTTAAAGTTTAATGTATTAATTATTTATTGAATTTAATTATCCATAAAATCATAATTTATACTATTATTACATAATTTCATTATTAATTTTGTAATATTTTAAATTATTATGAATTTCAATATTATGTTATAATTATTTTTCTATTTTGAATATTTTTTAATTTATTATATAATTTCGTTATTTTAACTATTTAAAATATAGTTATGATAAATATTTAGTTATTTAAATATTTAAATAATCTATAAAATATTTAAACTTTGTTATTATTCAAATTTTATTTATTTAATGCTATTACATATTATTAAATATTTGAAAAACATTTAAATTGATAATTTGGAAAAACATAATTTAAATTGTTAGTACATAATTTTGTGATATATTTTGTAAAAATATAAAGTTATTTTCATGTTTTTTACCAATATTTTAAAGTTGTTATATAATTTTGTTATAATTTTTAATTATTTCTTAAATTTTTGAATCCAAACTTTTCTTTAGATAGATACAGGTAAAAAGTAAGCGAGAGAATAAATAGGAATTAGAGATAATTTAGAAGATAAGTAGAAATTAGAGATAATTTTGGAGAAAGTGGGGGATAATATAAGAGGTAGTTTAGATGAAATTTTAGCAAAAGAGAGTATTTAAGTTATTAAGAAAGTGCATCTCATTGGACAATTTAAAAAGTGATATGGAATAAAAAAAAAATTTCTTGACCTTCTTCATTTTAATATATATGTAAAGCGAGTATATATAAATTCGAGTTTTTCATTGCATGATATCACACGTGTTTATATAGTTTTTTCATTATACGACGGACACTTACCCATCCTCAATTTTGTTCTATTTCCCTCCACCTACATGGTTGGGGTTACGGTTTGGTTTGATTCCAGAATAAAATGAGTGCCCACAATATTCAAAAATGTGCAAGAGAATTTGTTGCTGTTGAAGACGGGAGAAACACAGAATGCATCATTGGTCCCAGATTCCGATCCGTAGCCGCAATGGCGGATTGGGACGAAGAATCGCTCCTAATCGCCAGTTTCATCATCGAACACACACGAGAAAGAGAACCCAAAGAGAATAAGCGTGGCCATTTTCAGTTTAAGTCCCCAAAAACCAGTTCAAGAAGGTAATCCAATTCTTCTTCCTTTTTTTTCCAATTTTCTCATGCGATATTTTCCTTTCAACATTAGTCGTTCTTTCCATCTTCTCAGAAAAGGCAGAGCACAGAGACAGAGTCCTGCTTCAATTCCTATTGCTATCTTTAACCTTGATGATGAAGAGACTGCTGGAGAGGGTTACATTTCTCTTTCTTTTTTGTTCCTCCCCTTTCAATGTTTCTCCTCCATCGTTATCTAAACTTTGTTTCTTTTGAAATGGGGACTCTGTTTAGACTGCTGGAGAGGGTAGCGTTTCTTTTTCTTTTTTGTTCCTCCCCTTTCAATGTTTCTCCTCCATCATTATCTAAATTTTGTTTATTTTGAAATAGGGACTCTGTTTTTTATTTGGAGTCATGTCTAGATGTTGAATTGCTTATTTGCTCGAGGTTCTCTTTTCTTTATGATTATCTGCAGAGAAAAACATGGACTCAAAAAGTAAAGTTATCGAAGAGAAGCAGAGAAAAGAAGGCAAAGCTGCTTTGCCAGAGGAATCTTCTGATGTTTCTCATTCGGGTTCATCTTTCCCTTGCATGGATAAACTTAGGGAAGAGCTCTCTTGCGCGGTAAGGAACTTCTAAGCTTAATATTGGTTGCCCAGTTTTTAGTTGTAGATTTCCACTTGTACCGATCAAACTATATATTTGAGTTCATTTTGTAATCTGGACATACAGATTTGTCTTGAGGATTTGCTTCGAACCGAGTACCACTCCTTGTGGCCACAGGTAAAAGAAAAGATGAATAAACAAATTCAAACAGCACATGATTTTCTTGCTCTTCAGTGGATTAATTCCCTCCTTTTGAGTATTTTCTTTTGAATTTATTGTCCTGATAGAGATTTTCATCTCGCAGCTTTTGCAAGAAATGCCTGCGATCGGCTGCCGATAAATGTGGAAAGCGATGCCCAAAATGCAGGCAGCTAATTAGGTATGACAGTCGTAAGAAATTGGAGATTTGAAGAATTTTCTTTTATTAGGAGTTTGTATGGGCTTTAAAAGTAATCTTCCTTTGAGTTTGCAGCAATGGGTGATCTTGCACAGTGAAGATAGTTCTTTGGAACACGATACAACTACTGTTTCCAAAAGAAGTTGAAGCAAGAAAGGCATCAGGAATGCTGAATAGCCATGTAGCTGAGCGCCAGAGCCCTGAAGAGGCAAGTCGAAATATCCCAGTTCCCAGAAGAATAAGAACAGTAGTTAGAAGAAGAGAAACGTCTACTCAGGTGGAGGAGGAAGAGGAGACATTGGGTTCAAGTTGGAGGAGAAGAAGAGGAGTGAGTAGTCAAGAGCAGAGTGTGAGAAGAGGAAGACGAGTCCCCAGTCAAGAGGAAGATGCCGCATTGGATTTTAGATTGCAGAGGGAAGAATTCATGGGGGCTCTTAGGGGGGGAGCTCATCATGTGCAACCAAGGACAAGGAGCTCTTTTTCCTCGGCCAGGGAAGCCTTGAGAGCCATGGCATCCAGAGCCACTGACCTTCACATGAGAGGCCGCCCTATATAGTCTAATTTTCAGGATTTTTGCCATTCATTCATATTCTTTGAACCGAAATTTATTGTTTTAGACTTCCAGCTACTAGGTTGTTCCAGAACAGATCTGTTTCTCATACCAATAATAAACAATTCAACCACCAATACAGTCTTACAGTGGAATCCACCATCGTCTTTGCTGTAGATGGGTCATGTGCATGTAGAAGACCATCAACAGAACCAACCCGTAAGAGGAATTGATTTGTTAAAGTTGAAGGGAGTAGAAAGATATGGAAATTAAATGCCATTAACCCGTATAAACCGTATTTTGATGTTGGGTTGAAATTGGAGGTATTAATGTAGATGTATAGAACTGGAAGTGCAATTTTCTTTTGAAATTTGAACCTCTCACTTTGTATCCCCTTTAGTGCTGGATATTAAATGCCATTAACCCGTATAAACCGCCATGAAGCCCCTCTGTGAGGTGTTCCTCTGCTGTAAATACCAGTAGAACTTGGCCTTTATGTCTACCTTTGTTAGCCTTTTTCCTGCTGTACATAACAGAAGAGTGCAACCATTTCAAAACTCCACCTTAGCGCTTCTTCTTTTTCACAAAATCATCATGTTTGATAGATTGCTTAAGTCTGCTATTCTGAACTATTTGCTTTCGCTTCAGCACCATTAATCCCTAAGTCGAATTTGCACTGGCGGATGGGCGCCTCCACAGCACATCCCAACCGTGTATTGGAAACATCTTCCAATGACAAATATGAGAGGTGTTCCCAATGCACTCTGAGATGTACATGTGGGGCGCCATGTGAACTCCCCTAAGTCTGGTTCTCCTGTACCATCTCAACCCACTTTAGCATCAGCATGTCAGCTTAGTTTTTAGTTTGGGGACTGATATCAGTCCAAGGGATCTCCCAAGATACAATCCAATTTTTGCACCGATTGCGTTCGGCTGACCAGTCTTAAATGAGCAAAATCCTGTTTCTTTGTAATAAGTGAAATCCTGTTTATTTTTAAACTATCTTTGTTGTTTTTTCCTTAATTTTTTACAATTGCAGCAATTCGATATTCATCGCCCGTGCTTAGCACGGGCGCCCCTGCTAGTAAGTACTTAAAATAAGTAATATCAAACATGACCTAAAAAAAGAAATTTATAAAAGTGATATAACCCATTTGTCTCTGGTCTTTGCTCGCTTCTTTGGTTGTCTCCTCCTTCCCTTCCCCACCAAGAAGATTTCCCAAAACATTGTTGCAACGTTAGTTGCAGCAGAGCAGGCAAATCTATTTATATTTAAAGTTACAGATACATACTTTCAGCAATCCAGAGCACGAAGATGGTCACAGAAACAACTCCAAGCTCCAAGCTCCAAGCTCCAAATGGGTTTTAGGAAATAGGGTGTAATAATTTTAAAGCCTGTTTTGATGGCACATGAAATTAATGAAAGGATTTCAGTCGTTTTTTCCTTAACATTATGGTGGAGATCAGTTTATGGTTCTCTACAAGGGTGAATGATGAGGACCTTTTATTGGTTTTAGTCAACAATTGAATGTTACACGAAGTTTGTTCTGTTGTTTCTTTTTTTATTTTTTTCCGTTTTTTGTCATTTTACATCTAATCGGCTTTTAAGAGATTTGAGCCATTTGGATGATTGATAAAAAAAATTAAATAATACTTAAAGAGTATTTATGCTATTTCACATGCCACTTAACGATAATTAATAATTTTGGATCAAATTAACACATTTTAAAAGTTTAGGTACTAAATTTACATGTTTTAAAATTCAGAGACCAAAGTACATGATATTAATCTCCAATTTTCCCTAGGAAAAAGGACCTCAAAATTAACTCAACCATTAAGTACTCCCTGTGAAATCTATTAACTCAGTAATCTAACAGAAATTGTCAATCCAAATTCTGGAAATTGACTTAGAAAACCACTTAGTACTTTCAAGTTCTGAAAAACATGATTGGTGGGTCATTTAGTCAATCCAGCCTAATCTAAAACTTTGTAAACATAAAGCCAAAATTTGCAGCCCAACTACTTGGGTTGTGTCGCCTGTGGCCCGACACAAACTTGGACCTGCCTGGCATGATGGTCCATGGGCCGTGCTAGGCTCGACATGATCATGCGGGCTGTGCTGGGTCTGGAGTTTTAGGTCGGACTGACACGACACGGCACGACCGAGTGGGTCGTGCTGCCCGTGGCCGGCATGACCTAGCTTGCAGCCCGACCCGACACGACCCATATATGTTATTTTTATATATTATATATATTTATATATTATATAAATTATAATTATATAATAATATATAGTATAAAATATATTAATAAAATAAATATATTTTTAAATTTTATTATACTAATTTATTTAATTATTGTATATATAAGCAATTTTATACACAAAATTCGTATAAAATTAAAATTTTAAGTTTTTTTGTCAATTTGTTTTAAATAAATAGCTTTGGCCCGATGCACGGCCTGGCTTGGCCCAAGGCTCGGTCAACGGGCCAGCCAACCCGACCCCCAAAATTTTCACCAGGGAGGGCGACATGGCCCGAACTTTTTTGTGTGTAAGCACTGAAGCCGATCTTTCATTTGGAGGGCTCTCACAAGTGGATCGTCGGGAAGAAGAAGAAGAAGAAGAAGAAGAAGAAGAAGAAGAAGAAGAAGAAGAAGAAGAAGAAGAAGAAGAAGAAGAAGAAGAAGAAGAAGAAAAATCTGAGAGGCTGAGATTGTGAGAGGTGAGAGCCAACAATACCGTTGGGAGTTGCCGCATCAGTTGTCGGGCGTCGACTGTGAGAAGACTGAGAGGCTAAGAGTTGAGATTTGACTGAGAGATGTGAGTACAGTCGGTCCGCCGGCACCGGGTGTCGATTTGACTGAGAGGGCTTGAGGGTGACTGGGTGAGGCAGGGTCACAGTTTCGCAGTCGCTAGTCACAGTCGTAGAGTTGTAGTCGCAGGGAGAGGAAGGGTTGAGGCTTGAAAGTTTAAACTTAAAGGGTTTTTGGCTGGTTCGATTGATTTTTCCCTCTTTTTTTTGTTTGGTAATTGCTTTCTTTAGAATGTGAATGGGGYCACCATATATCTGTATCCCCACCAATAAGATATTTTCTAAAAGCACATAATATGTATAATAARTATTACACACACACACACACATATCGACTAGGCTCGCGAGCTTAATGAGCCGAGCCGTATCTTGTTCGGCTCGAATAAGATATGAGCCATATATAGAGCTCGAATTCGGCTCGAAGCTCAGCTTAGTCTGAGCCGAGCCGAGCTTGAATAGCTCGTGAAAATCTCGGTTTATTTCCAACCGTAACGGCACGGCCCACACTTTGCGCGGGCCACCCATAGGCCATGCCGTGCCGGCCTGGCATGATCCACTTTACACCTCTATGCCTACCTCTAAAAATTTAAGAACTAATTTTGAAATTAAGAAGTGCCTCCAGATATTTAAACCAAACAACCATTGACCTCTAAAAAGCAAAGTCTCTAAAATTATGAGATTGGTTCAGCACTACCAAATACCACCCAAATGTTTTTATTCACATATCTTAAAATGAAGTTAAGAAACAATAGCATACTGATTTTTACTTATTTCACGAGAGACCAATACTAGCAAGTGCCGGGGAAACAAAAATAGAAAACTAAACATTTTGCTAAGGAATGATGGTATCTTTTTTTCCCCTTGCAAAAAGGAGAATTTATTCATGGAAAAACTGAATAACATAAAGGGCAAGGTTTTTAAAATCGGACTAGATAGGGAACTGTTTTGGGGACCGGTTCATGGGTCGAATGGTCCAACTGTCTAGTCCGAATGGATGGTCCATTCAAACAAAAAAAAAGATCAAAAACCATTATCCAGGTTGATGGTTCGATCGCCTGGGTCAGCGATTCATTGACCAATTCAATGATTTTTGGCCAAAAAGCGGCTTTGGAGTGAAATGGAGGTGACCGGTTCCCTAATTTTCTGGTCTGGCTGTCTAGTCCAGTCTAGTTTTGAAAACACTGAAGGGGGAGACGACCAATACACATCACACCCAATATCCCTATATTTTGTGGTGAGAGTATGGGATAACTGACAAAATGAAAGGAAATAACAGAGAAACCATAAGACATAAGTAAAATGTTTGAAATAATAGGTTGGGTTGTCCAGGAACAGGTTTGAAAATTTCCTCACAGAGCACGAACAACATTAATATTATCAGAAAGAACGAACTATGATATCTTTTTAGCATTAGTAGTTAACTAGCAGTGTGATGCACGGGCTTTGTTAAGCAAAGACTAAACAATAAAAGCACATAAGAGTAGACAATTGTTTTATATTTTAACCTTTTAAATAATTAATAATTAGTTGTATTTATATACTACTTTTAATATTTTTTTACAATATAAAAATAACAATAACTAATTTCATCTAGGTTGTTCATCAAATCGGTGAAACCGACAAACATGACCCAACTTGACTCGAGTTGGTTGATTTTCTTGTATTTCTGGTGGGTTTTGGTTCAACAATTTTCCAACCTAGCTAGGTCGGGTCAATTTCAGTCCGACCATTTGTAAATTGACAAAAACCAAATCGACTCGACCATATATATATATATATTAAATATAATATTTAATATGAAAAAGTGGGAAAATTCCCATATTCCTTAGTCTAAAATATTTTATATTGTAAATTTAAATTTTTTAATAAGACCACTGTGATTTTTAAATTTAATTTTTTAAGTTTAAATCTTTTGAACCAACCAACCAAATCGAAAATTGACCCAAACCAATATAACCCAACTTGGTTGGTTTTCACTAATGGTTGGTTGGTTTCGGGTGACCAACTCCCCAACCCAGTCAGGTTAATTTGGTTGGCCAAACAACCTACAACTGAACCAAACCAACTTGTGAACACTCCTAATTTTAGCTAAACTAATAGTTTAATCTCCAATAAATAATTACTAAAAATAAAATAAATATAAATTTTAGAATATAGAAATATATAATAAATATAGATTAATATTTTAAAAT